CACCGCGCTATTTTCGACGATAATTTTTTTTTCTCTTAAGTGCTTCGCAGTCCGTTATAAGCTTAATTCCTAACAGATAAACTTTTAATTTCTAACACATTAATTATTGTTAGTATCTCTAATTCATACGAATACAATTTCTTTTCGGCATCAATCGTTTTTTTGTTATAATAATAAATAGGATGAAACTAATTCTCGACGCTAATTTTTTGTAATAATACTGTGCCGTAATCTTTCTTGCGTCTGTATACAATTGGATAATTGTTTCTGAATCACAGATTCGCAATACAGATTTGATTATTAGTATTGTTTTTGTATATGTATATGTAATGTTGTAAATACTTCCTGTTGACTACTACTAAATGATTCATTTTTGTTAAGCATATTCGATAAAGATCGCGCTATTTCAAAGTAATTCCGCACAAATTTATGAAAATATCCTGTCAAACCTGTAAGTTTGAGAAAATAGTGTATGCCTCTTTTATCGTTAGGCCTCTGAAATTTTTTAATTACTTTAACTTTTGCTTCGTCCGGATAAATATGTTCATTTTCTATTTCCTGGCCGAAATATTCTTTTCGCTTTTTTAAAAACGAAATATTTGTTCCAGTTAACAAATAGTCTACTGTTCTCAGCTATTAATGTTTTTTCAATATTTTCAAACTCTTGTTCATCATTCTCACCCGATACAATATCAATATTATACATCATCATCTATGTAAAAACTATTTTACATCTTATTAAATCTTTAAATATTTCATAATAAATTTAAGAAAACTAGAAAGGTTAATTAATAGTTCAAATAATTTTTTCAAAAACTTAAATTATCCATTAGACATTATAAACGATATGTATTTCCGTCAACATATGAAAAAATTTATTCTTTAAATCCATGATTGAAAAAACACGCTCACTTCTCAATTCATCGATCCTATCTTCAATGAATGGCATGGGAAAATAATCACGTTTAATTCTCTTATTTAATTTTCAGTAATTAATACAAACTCGATATGATTTGTCTTTTTTCGGAATTATCACTATTGGACTTAAATATTAACTCTTACTTACTTAGATTGAATGATTCTGTCTCTTAATCATTCATCTATCTGCTGATTTAATATTAATTTTTCTTTTAATACTAATTTACGCGGTTTTAAATAACCTATCGTTTACAATTATTAGCATTTCTACATTTGTACTTACTTTATTCGCAGGTATATATCGTGATATTATCGTTTTCAATTTGTTCTTATACTTACTTTTAATATCAACCTCAATGACATTGTTATACAACATATTTATTAATTCATTAGTATCTTTTTCCTTCTTTTCCTTCCTATCGATGATCGCGATTGGAGAATTGCTTGTAACTCTTTTGTTATTTTTTCAATGTTTATTATTTCGCATTGTCGTAATCGTATATCAATGCCTTTCAAGAAATCTTCACCTAGAATTATATTATGTAGTATCGTTTCAACCGGCATCACAAAAAATTTGAGTAAATGATTTTCATTATCTGCAACGATGGTAGTTTCAAAGGTCTTCAATTATTTTTGTGATCGCGTTACTTGTTCCCTTTATAGTCAGCACTTCTTTTAATGGAAGATTAATCTTCTGGTAGTTGGTTCTCTAATTAGCGTTAACTTACTTTCCGTATCAATAAATATGTAACTCATTTTATCGTTTATTAAGATTTCATAATTTCCATAAGTCGATCTTGATTTTGAGATACAGTTAATATTTGTTACATTCATTTTTTCTATACCGGGGCAGCGATTCGCAATATCTAAACGTATTGCACTTAAAACATTTTGATCCTTTATCTCATTTTGGACAATTTTTCGCATTGTGATCCCCCATCCTACATGTGTTGCAACACGACATCCGAGATTTGCTTGGATTTTCTCTTTTTTCCATCACATCGTCTCGCTTTTTCATATATTCTTTATGTTTCAACTTTTCTTTCATACGGTCATAAATGACTAATCTTTAACTGTTTCAATGTGTATGCTTGATATATACGAATTTGTTCTGTTCCTTATCTCTATTCCATCAATTATATGTTCTATTAATGTACTTTTTTCCACACTATTCTCGCTAGCGATCTCCATCATATGTACGCGTACACATATTGTCAGCTTATTTTTTGTGATTTTCTCTTATATTTATATAACAGTGTGAATTTGTACACTGCTTATCATCGTTTTAAATTCTTTTTTAAACGTATCTTCAAGGCTGTCCATGATGTAAGATTTTTTTGATCTGTTATAAATTGATTCCATCAGCATTCTTTTCCGTATATAAACATTTGCAGATCATTTCAATAATGTATCTATTTTTTCCCATTTCATCAATCCATTTAAGAATTTATAATCGTCATCCGTGAAACATGAGAATGATTGTTTGACATTTCGTATAATAAACACATTTGATTGTTTGCCTTTTGAGAATATTTCCCACTTTGTTTCAATTGTTTTCTTTGTATGAAATTGTCATGTATTCTTCCTTTTCAGATTCTTCTTCTTCACTGTCTTCTTGTCTATTCTCTATATAAATTCTCTAATTCCGCTTTCTTACCGGTCGTATTTAAATGTAATTTTGACAATTGTTTGCTTAACTGTTTTATTTTCATTTTCTCTATTTTATTCACATTCAATTTACTTCTTGCATTCAGATCTCTTATTTCCATTATAGTTCTTTCTTCAATTTTTGACTATGAATTTCTAAAATGCAATCTCGCATTTTAAATGGATATTGTTTGACTCCATCTTGTTTATTTCATTAATTTGCCACTTTTGCGTTCAGAACGTTCACAATTCGTTTGTATTTATCAATTATCACTCATTTTATTCTTTCACTTTCACTTTTACTTATATGTTAACTAATTCGTTTCCGTGAATATTATACGTACCTGATTTTTTCACTTGTCGTCGTCCCCATCCCATCTCAATCCGTAATCATTTATTCTGAATTTATCCTAGTTGAGTCCCCAATTGTAAGATTGAGACGTTAGGGATAAAAGTTAGTAATTTTTTTGTTCTTTTGTACGAAATATTAGAAATTTATTATTAATGGATTCAATAATTTGGGAAATACAAAACGTGATCGCATCAGACGCTCTTCGGCAGGCATTACACACTGACTTGTCTTTTTTCCGATCGAGACACATCCCATCTCTTCTCATTATATTCGTTTGTTTAGAGTTAAGAAGAGAATCCCTCTTCTCTCGTCTCACCTTTTTGGCTTCAAGTACATGCGTTCAATCATCACAGCGGGTCTCCCTCTCATCATCACTATATATATATATATAGTGTGTGTGTGTGTGTGCGCGCGCACGCGTGCGTGCGTGCGTGTGTGTGTATAATATAAAAGATATATATAAACATATATATAATATGGAAAATATCGATTTAAAAAATAATATATGTATTTTTTTAGAAGAAAGTATTAGAAAAGTCTAAATAATATTTTATTGTAAAAATATCCCTTCAATTATGAAACGTGCTCAGTTTTTAATTTTTTTTCCTTGTTATATAAAAAAATTTAATTATTTTGACAATATTATATTATTATATTTATATTTTGTATTTAAAAACATTTACTATAAATGTTTATGTTATATAAGAAATATATAATAAAAAAATTATAATATTTTATCAAAAATTTGATGACAATCATTATCAGAATTTAGCAACATTTATTTAGAACATAGCAACAATATTTAATGCCCATAAACTAGTGTTTAACAAATTTTATTTTGTTTGATAATTATCTGAGGAAAATATCATATTTCAAACATCATAAACAAACTGTAGATTATATATTTATGAACATAACATATAGTATATATTATGTAAATAAAGAAACAGACAGATATTATATATAATCGATAAATTTATTTACTTAATTTTTAACATTCATTTAAAATTTTTATGAAATAAAATATTACTTTTTTTTTTACAAATATATATTATTATAAATTTTAATTTTTTTAGAAAATATAATTAGTTTAATATAATATTAATTAATATTATAAGCTAGACTTTTATCTGACAAAATCCATAGCTATAAAAACTTTCGTAAATACTAATAACTTGAGTAAATTTGGATTAATCATATTCTTATTAAATAATAATAAAATAAAAATAAATAAATAAGAATTATGATAATATTTTGAAAAAATTCTACTATTAAATTCTTTTTGATAAAAAAAGTGAAAAATACATGATCATAAAATTTATTTAGAAAAAAAGTATCAATTATATGCTTATATAAAATTCATTTCATCAAATTAATTTCGTTTATTTTTTATTATTATATTATTATTGTGTAATATAATTTTACTATATAAATCACAATACATCATAATAGAATAAAATATATTATTAGTGGGTGATTATTCAATAAATATATCATTTTATGATTGAATTATTTAAATTAATATTATATTAGTGTAATATATAAATTAATTAATATATAAATTAATACTTATAAATTATAAATACTATAAATTAATATTGTTAATAAGTCTTGATGCCAATTTTATAAATTAATATATATTAATATATACTTTATATACATTATGTATATTGCATTAAAATTTTCTGAGAATATTTATATATTTTTGTAAATGTTATATGCTTTTTATATATTTGTAAAATTCAACAGTCTAATAAACTTAAAAAAGAAAAAATAGATAATTATTTTTGCAATAAAAAAATTTTTAATAAAAAAAATTGATTTTCATCTATTGTTTTAAAAAATATTATACAAATTAAATAAAACATAAATTATAAATGTACAATAACTGTACATTTAATAAAAATCATGTTTTTTTATTTATATTAAGCAAATAATCATATAATTTTTATTTGAATTTCAGTTTCGATTTACAAAGTTGTTAGAATGAAATAAAGAGTAAAATAAATAATTATTCTTTAAAATACAATTGCAATCATTGAATTAGAATGAAATGAAAAACAATCGATTCATTTCGTTTCAGTGGTCTCTTGGATTCGCAACGACAAATAGCGATGATTTCCGAGATGATCCATAATGCTTCCTTAATCCATGATGACGTAATCGATCAACCAGGCTTCCGTCGTGGCAAACCTTCGATCAATGTCGTCTGGAGTCGAAAAAAGGTAAGATTTAATAAAAATATATAATATTGAATTGTTATAAAATTTCTTTCATTAGAATATCCGTTATATGAACATTCTATTTATGAATATTCTGTCGTGAATATATATATATATATATACTATACAATATGTATAAATAAATATTTTATGTAAATAACAATATATTGTTAAATAATAATATTGTCAAGATGGAGGATATTGATAATTAAAAAAAAATATGACATTAGAAACATGAATGTATGAAAAATTTAATAAAAAATATAATGTTAAAAAATTAATTGTCAGTATAAAAAATAGAAAAAAAAGTGATTCTGAATTAAACAATACTTAGATTGAGTATATATAATATATATTTAATATATAATATTAAAAGATTGATAAAAGATGAAATACCACATAAAGTGCAGTGACTTAAGTTTATTAAATATATTCTAATAATTTAATTATATATACATACGCACTCATGTATATCATGAATGTATGTAAAGGAGCCAAAAACAGAATAAAGATATACGTATGTCTCTCTTTTTGCATTTTCTAATATATTGTTCGCGATGGAGAAAATAATTAGCTAATAACGAGCATGAATAGTATCATTATTAAATAGAAAACATTGCATATTAAACAATTTGGTATTCCAAATCTTTTAAGTTAATCAGC